TGTGCTGACGGCTCAGAGCCTGGAGCCTGCTTCGATTTCTGTGTCTCCCTCTCTCTCTGCCCCTCCCCTGCTCACGCTCTGTCTCCGTCTCTCTCTCAAAAATGAATGACCGTTAAAAAAAATTGAAAAAAAGATCGCATTCAATGTTACTTATCTTGATGGCTTAGTGTTCAGGCACTGCCTTAAATTTCGCACCTGAGGAGAGGGCCTCACTCGCCTCACCCTACCTGGCCCTGATTGGTCCCCCGGCCCGCCCTGCGATTTGGGGTTCTGTTCACAGAAGGGGAGCCCCGCAGCTCCCCTTCTGGGGCTGGGAGCGCTGGGAGGTGGCAGCTGAGAGAAGTGACTGCCGCACCACCTCGAGGACCCCGATTCCGGGCCTGTCGCGTGCAATGCATGTGTCCCCGGGGACACGCAAGTGTATGTCCCAGGTTGCACGTTTCTGTGGGCCGGTGTAGTCACACGTGTCTTGCTGTGTGTATATGCGTGCTGGTCTCTACATCTTACCCCCGTTGGTGTTTCTGAACGTCCCTCTTCTTACTGACCCTTGTGTTTCCATGTGTGGTTCCCCACGTGTCATTTGACACGTGTCCAGCTTCCACGTGGGCTCGAACTGCCGAACACCGCACAGCTTCAAGCAGGCCATCGCTGACTGCCGGCGTGTATTTGAGATGGGCCGAGCGTTCGGGCATGACATGAGCCTCCTGGACATCGGAGGGGGCTTCCCCGGAGGGGAAGGCTGTGAGCCTCAGTTTGAGGAGGTCAGAGAGGAGGACGAGAGGGAACCTGGGCTGGGTCCAGGGGACAGTGGGTGTGTGTGTTTGTGTGTAGGGCGAGTTCTTGGAACTGAGTCACGTGCATGCATGTGGCTGGGGTTTGTCTTGATTGCTGTGGTTCCAAATTCAGACATCTCAGAGCGCTAGACTTGCTGTGTGTCCTTGGACAAGTCCCTTCCCCTCTCTGGGCCTCCGTTTCTGTTTCCTTGCTGGTCAAGGGGGGACGATAACACTTTCCACAGTGCTGTTATGGGAATGGAGGGGGATGATGCAGGTAAAGCCCCCACATAGGGACTGGTCACCTTAGGGTCTCTCTGTCCCTGTAGATGGCGAGAGTGATCAATGCCGCCCTGGCCCAGGACTTCCCCGAGGGGAGTGGTGTTGAGATCATCGCGGAGCCTGGACGCTTCTATGCGGCGTCTGTCTGCATGGCTGCCGTCAACATCATTGCCAAGAAGGCTGTGCTGGAGTCTGGTGTGTGGGCCAGCACTGGGTGGGGAGGGCACTGTCCAGATGTTCCCAGGCCCTGGGGGGAGAGGACGGACAGGGGGTCTGGGCTGCACCCCTGGTGCCTAATGGGAGTAGAAATGAACCTGTTAATATCACTATCGTGCTGTTCTCAAATTGCCTGGGAGGTAGAGAACCAAGGCGAAGCCTCTACTCTTCCTGAGCGGTCAGTGAATGCGTATTGTGTTTACGGAGGCAAAGTCACAGGCTACAGCTCGTGAGGTCACAGACACCACTGTGCTGCTGTGCCTCTGAAATTCTTCGAGCAAGTGCCTTCTAGCAGGTGCAGACCCTGCAACAAAAAACATACCGAGTAAAGACAAATTCTCGTTGATTTATTTATTTCTGAGAGAGAGAGAGAGAGAGAGGGAGAGAGAGAGCAAGTGGGGGGAGGGCAGAAAGAGAGGG